TATACAAGCGTGTCATTTTCTTCAATTTTTTGATGAACAAACTTCCATCTTGAGACATGACATAAATTATTCATACCTTCATTATGTTTTTTTCTTCACTCGCTCTCGCTATTTACCTTCTCATAAACTCTGTGCTGCGTACGCTATGATATTAACAAACTATATACGATAAAGAAAAGTAACAAGACATGAACAAGACAAAATTGTGTACGCGATACGTTTAGTGAAAAGTAATTTCTTTTTCTTCACTCATTTTAAATGGAATTGTTATTATTAGTTTCATTCTTGATATGTGATGCTACTTACAATTTTGGCTTGTTCTCATTTTTTTCACTCGTCTGATTAATATTCTTGGGGGTCCTAGCTTTCAGTAAATCACTTTTATTAAATAAAAATAAATACGAAAATTCATGTAACGGAAATTTAGATTTTGAAATTATACATTATGCAGCAACATTTAAAAGATTTTTCTCAAACAAATCAATTATTGAATTCATAGACTCCAAAAAATTCAATGTTTTTCAAACCTAACGAAAATGCAACGTGAATGTTGAGCATAAAAATGATTGATTGAATAGGAAATATTTTACATTACATGAAAAGCATATCAAAAACAGACAGAAAACACACCTCAAATCATCTTGACAACAAGCTGTATATGTGGATTTAAATACAATTTTTTCAACGCTTTTTCTATACCTTAAGTATGTCTTTTTATGTAATTTGCTTGTAGGTGTTTCTGGGTGGGGTAGAGTCAAGGGATTTTTTAGGTTATGAGCACATATCTTTAAGATTAGAATCAACGGTGAGGCTTCATTTGCATGTCAATCATATGTTTATTGAATGCTCTTCAGTAGTCAAGCTATAGTTAAGATTGATACGTCTAGAGAGATATGAGATGAAGATATAGAATGGAAAAAGCTATGGAATATTTAACAAAAATATTCACTGGATCTCCATGATCTAGATTTTTAGATACCTTAGAGCTACTTGGTATTGCTACTGTAGCTGTATTTTATAAGCATTCTAATACCTCAAGTGTATGACAAGAAACTAGCTTAAATGCTTTATGCCATAAACTTATATATAGTAGCATTTGAGCTTGGAAGTAATCAATCTCTCATAGCTCAATGGAAGGATTATGCAAAATGTAGGTAGGGACATGAGTTCAATTCCTAGCTTTCTTAAATATCACGACTTAAATACCTCATTTTGTAGCAAGATAACATGCAAAATAACTTAGATCACTAATCTCTCACATCAAGCTATCTACAAGGTATCTGTATCTTCCACCCATTCACCAGACTCTCCATTTCCTGAATAAAAATCCATTCAACTATCAGCATTTATGTAAACTTAATGAACATCCATTAATTACTTCAGTTTTGTAAAGAAACCCTTCAATCACATGAAAATCACTAGTCAGCATGCTGTATTGCATAAAAAGTCAATAAATCAGTCATTAAAAGATGCCTTCGAAATACGGAAGAGATGAAAAGAGAAGAAAGTTTTATGAAAATGAATTAGATACTGACGTTGATTGCTGACTAATGCGACACTACAATTTCCTATGAGATATAAAAAATATGATGGAAAAAAGTATGTTCGGTTAATTAATCATGAGACACCTTCATGAGTGATCATCCGGTGGGAATGTTTTCATTTCAAACACATTAATGTAATTGTGCATCGTAATTTGATGAAAAAGTTTGTTCCTCTTCCTCATAAAATTACGTCGTCATTAAAGGCACAAATTTATGCTCGGTAGTGAGATTTTTATGAATAATTTTTCACATTCATTGAGCAATTTATCATTTTAATTTAGTTTTTTTTTCTCTAATGAGAGAAGATTTCATCGCAATTATGGAAGTGATTTATTTAAATGATAGTGCTCAGTAGTAGCTAAGTAGCAGACTCTTTTGATCTTACTATGTCTGCCTAGTCGATCATCTGTCTGTCTGCCAACATGAAAGTCTATCTTAATCAGCAGTGGTGTGTTGAGAATTTTTTGACGTAATTCAACCTATTCAGAGGGGCCCAATTTTATGAGAGGGGCCCAGCTTGATGAGAGGGGTTTGAATTTAACTTTGTTCAAAAAACTAATCTCAAGAGTGGTCTAGACCTCTTTGAATGCCCATTACCTTGACCATGTCCATCCACCATTCTATGTCCTGTATTTCTAACCTTACTTTCTAAGAAAATGCGCTTCAATCAGTCATATACGATCACATCCATACAACTTCTAATCATTCTCTTGCATCTTTAACCATTCGATTGTTTAACATTCTCAATTGTCTTCATTTATTGCGATATCGAAGTGCAAATAGCTTCACTTTCAATTTTTATATCTTCTTTTTCTCATCTGCTTACTCATCTCATTTATTTCATATTATTTTTTTCAAGTTCAACTCGAGCTTCTTGAATATGAAATTGAGTGTGAATACTTTTGGAATTGGAATAATTTTTTTTTCGTTGTTGTTGTTGTTGTATGTTTGTGTGAAATAATAGGAATGAAAGTTTATTAATTCAATAATAATGAAGATGATATTTAAATTTTATTTTATTTTTTTGCTAATTTCATTTTCAAATGTTTGGTAATTATGGGCTTTGGATAGTGTACATATTTAGCCTTAAACTTTAATTTTTCTTTCTTATTGTTTTTAAAATAATTTTGTTTTGTAACATTTTTAGCGAATTTTCACATTAAGTCGAAAGATTCATTGTTGATTTGATCGCAAAGACCCCCATGCAGGGCATAAACTTTTCAAATATAAATTACTTGAATTGCCACTGTGCAGCTTTATTTAAATGGAAAGTGATTTCAGTGAGCTGTGAGGGAAAAAGAACAGTGAGCCTGATGTTTTGTCAGTTGCTTGGCTGCTGTAATTTCGTTTCGAATATATTTTATGAATCTGGTCTGACACGGAATATAAATAGGCTTAGAGTAAACTAGTTATCTAGGTCATTTTCAAGTTCCTAAGGAAAGCAAAGCCCTAAAAGCTCAAAAGTACACAACACTTTAATTCTCTTGAAAAATGCGCCTCAGACCTCACCCCACAGTGTCTTTCTTACTTAATCTTCAAATAAACAATTCCCAAACCTTTTAAAAAAATTAATTTTGTTAACATGATGTAAGATGTTTCCGATAATTGTTTTGCAACGTATGTCACGTTGACTTTATCAATCAGACAAAATCAATTTGCTGTGCCTCATACCTTTCACATTGATCGATGTTAAATTGTTGAAAATTAAATAATCTTGGGGATCTAATCAATTTTTATGGGAGAAATCATTAAAGGAACACGTTTTTTTGCTACTTTCATCGGAAACTGTTTGATCAAAAAAATTTAAATTGTTTATGAACTGACTGTGTTTATGTCTAGGTTGGTAATTGTGATTATATTGAAACATTTTTTGATTATTGAATGAGTCATAGATGGAAAGATTGATTGGTTTGAAGACATTGGCAAAATATGTCAGTTTTACAAGTTCAAGGGTTAGAAACTTGAGTTCCTGCTTGAGTTTATGATCAAAATTCATCAAAATCAAACTTGGTCTACAAAAGACATCCATTCACACAAAGCTCAACAAAAATCATAACAATAAATCTACAAAAAGCATGAATGAACTTTAATTTCGCATGATTTTTTTTTGCCTGCAATCTTGAAAAAAAAGTCTTAAACATTTCCCATATATCTCTTTCTCTTGTTTGTCTGCCTTATTTATTTTGTTTTGTCTGCAAAGTTTCACTAATTCAATACGAATCAAGCAATGCGATTAATTCAAAGCGTTTGTCTGTACAAAAAAAAAGATAGACTTCTTATTTCACGTCGAGAGATAGCTAGATAATTGGAAGCAATAGAAGGTAGACGATTATTTTCTATGAATTACTTACAAACATCTCTTTTTGTTGAGCTCAAATTGAAATAAGGGAATTGCAAAAAAATGGCAAGATGAAAATTGCTTTTGAGAAAGTTTTTTTTGTGTTTGTTTCAACTTTTTTTTTTTTGACTTATCGGATAATTTAAGAAAATGGGAATGTTGTGATTTTATTATGGCTGATTGAGTGGAATGGGATTGAAGTAATCAAATGAACCGTTTAGAGTTTATTTGTTGGACGTGAGTTGAAATGATTTATTACAAATAGCTTGAAAGTTATAAACCTAAATGAATAGTTTTTCTGGTATTTCGAGGATGGTTTTATGGCAAAAGGTAATCTGGTATAGTATGTCGTTTATAATTAAATCAATCTGAACAAGAGTAAGGACTTTGTGGTCGACTAGGTTGGAAACTAATCCAAACATTAAAAACTTGACTATTATAAGAGCATTAGTTCGATTCTCAGTACTTGAATACCATAATAAATTAAAACAGCTACTAAAACGCCTGCTGTGCTTGACCTGATTTGGTTGATCAACCTACAATTGTTCCTGAATTCTCCAAATAAAGGTTACATAAGAACATAAGTTTTTCATTAACTACCCTGTTTTTTTCGTTTTAAGCTAGTAGCTTAGAAGAATGAAAAAGTGATTTTTTTGGCTCACTAGTAGCTTAGTAACGAATAGAAGCTTATAACGAAAAAACAGGGTAATCTTACAAAAAAAAAACATCCAAAAACCTATTAAAATAATCAATTTACCATTGAATCTGCATAATTTGTACCAAACAAAAAGTATATCTGCGTTCTCAATCATCCAAATCAGCATCAAAGAAGAGGAATTCCATCAACTCGAAATTCCATTTCATCTCATTTTCGGTGCATTTGCCGTTTCGACTTTGTTTCAATTTCTTCAAAGCAATTTCCTTGCATTCTTTTCCATCAATTGAAATTGCAATTCACTATCAGTTCATTCAGCTGCTGCCACCGTTGTTGTTGCTGTTCTCTGTATGTTTATTGCCGTTGTCTTTATAAATTTTATATAAAGCATAGCATAGATAATGAAAGCAAAATTGCAATTTTTTTGTACTTATTTCTTTTTCTTTTCTTTTTTTCATTTCAGATTATTGTGTACTGCTGTACTGTGTAGCAATACATTGAATTTTATTTTATTTCGAGAAAAGGAAAAGCGTGGAAAATAAGTATTAACGGCGCACAAATGTTTAACAACATTCGAACAATGATTGCAATTACATTCGAGTAAAGGAACAGCTTTATAGAGTAAGTAAAAGAAATTCTCATTTATCTTTCCATTTTATATGAGCTCTGCCTCCGTCAGAAGACTCTAAATAAATAAACGAAATGACAACAGCAATGAATACCTTAAAAAATACATTTTCAACATTTTTATCGTAGCATAAAAGTTTTTCTTTATGGCTGTGATCCAGAGTTGGCTTTTTAGAGATCTAACATAGTACCAGATTAATATCCAGGCATACGTAAAATTTCCTAAACGAGACCCACGTCTAGTTCTGTCATTGTTTTAGTCACAGTTATGTCCCAGCTATGTCACAGTCACATCACGGTCATGTCATTGTAAGGTCACAGTCACGTCACAATCACATCACACTTATTTCACAGTCATGTCATTATCATGTCACAGGCATGTCATTGTCATATCACAGTAACGTCACAATCACATTGCAGTTATGTCACAATTATGTCACTGTCATATCACATCAAAGCCTCAACTCTGCTGCTTACAAATGTGCAAAAGGAAAAAAACTTAACAAGAATTGGAACAAAAGACTATATTTTTTGAGTTTTTACTGTCTGTTAAAGCAGATAAGAAAGTTGTATGTATACAAAATGCGATACGGTTCTTGAATATCAGCAAGCACCAACTTACAAATTTACTTGCCATAAAATGCGACGAAATCAAAGAAAAACTTAAGTTTTTTTGTGGGTTAATGTTGGAAATTCTTGTTACATATTTTTCTTGTATGCAATTTAATTCGAATTATGAAGTTGGGAATTATGGTAATGGGGGTAATTTGTTGCTTTGGAATGAAGTTTATAAGTTGTTGTTGAGTGAGGTTGAAAACGAATAGACGACGAGAGTACATGTGCATGATAAAAATTGTTGAGTTCCCTAATGGGTTTGTGATTTGGATTTTGTTAATTTTGAGCTCTTTAGAGTGAGATTATAATAGAGGGAGGTTAATAATGAAGCTACAAGCTTTAGAAGTTGAGCTAAATTGCAAAGACAATCTAGTAAAGAGATTCCGGGGTGTTATTAATACTCATTGGGCTCGGTTTTTGTCAAGGATACATTAAGCGTAGCGTAGGATATAAACTTCACTATTGGGCTAATGTTAAACTAGGTTGTGGCCTATCGTATGGTATAGCATATAGTCTGGAGTTAAGCCATGCTTGTCAAGTCATACTAATAGCAATTTCCGAGCAACTTGTCTTTTGAATAGCTCAAATAGCAACTTAATCAAAGTCAAAGCAAATTTACCAACCGGTTTAACGCTGAGATTCGCAATAAGCTACAAGATTCACATCTAGTGTTTTCCCATAATTTATCCAATTAAATGCGTCATGAGCACATGCTTCTTATTACTTCAAACTCTCATTTTTCGCAACGATGATGAAACATACGAAAAAAGAAGAATTATCTCTATTTTATTTACTTTACAATCGAAAAACCATAATTGAATATAATTTCATAAAGTTTTGTTGTTTGTAAAAATTTAATAAACTCTGAAACACAAAATCCGTGCAATTTTGTAAGGCAAACAAGTACAAATTATATGTTTAGCTGCTGGGTAGAATAATCATAAAAAATGCCAATTACAATTGGAAAAGAGAGAAATAAAACAAAATTGATTTAATGGCAATTATGAACAAATTTTCTCATCTGCCATAAACCTGCTTATTAAAAAAAAAGCCTTAATTTGAAATCATTCGGAAAAATCTTTTAAAATTCAAATCATAATAATAATCATTTCTGTTATTTGTTAGAATTGGGGTCAATTTTTTTCTGTATGTAGATGCCTCATAGAGATGCGCAGTGATGAAATCATCATCATTTTCTGTGAAGCGAAGCATTTAACAATTAATTATATTTGCACTTCATCATTATTCGTAAAAATTTTATGGATGAAAGAGAATTTTGTTAAATTTTTAATACCTTTAAAATTGTTTTATGTATGCTAATCCGACTTAAATTAAATATGCATTAGTTTAATTGGATATTTATGTTTCTCGTGATGCGATAATTTTATGATTGAACTTTTTGTATTGACCTAGAAGATTATGAAGAGAGAAATAAAATTTAACAATGAAAATGGAAATTTAAGATGTTAAGGTCTGTAGGGGAGATGATTTTAGGTCAAATTTATGCTGAACCGAAGCGATGATCAAGGCAACAAAATAATTTGCCTTTTTGATTTCTTCGAACTCAGTTGACTTTACTTTTGGAAGATTTTGATCTTTGGCATTATTGATGTTAACATGAATTGAACTTCTTTTTGGAATGCATTTTAACAGTCGAATCATATTTGAATATTAAGGATTCTAGAAAGTTGCATGCCCCGCTGATTTGTTTACAAAAAATTTAGTCATTTATTTCATTTCAAAGAATTATGAGTCAAAAGCAAACTTTAACTTAATTATTAGACTTTATTAAAAGCAAACTTTAACTTAATTATTAGACTTATTTATTAGACTTTATTAAAAGCAAACTTTAACTTAATTATTAGACTTATTTATTAGACTTTATTAAAAGCAAACTTTAACTTAATTATTAGACTTATTTGGCTGCTGTTGTAGCTTCACAAACTTTACAAGAATAAAACAAACTCTGAATCACTCAAAAAATATCTCAAAACTTCATAAAGTCACGCAAAACCACTAAAACAGCTTAAAGTCTACTATCCATTAACCTAATTTGACAAACACACGACGTTTTGTGCAAATTTGCTTAACCAAATTTCCTCATCAAGCATGCAAATTCCATTTGCCATGTCTCTTTGTCTTTGACTCCACAAATTTCGTAATATTGTTCTCATTTAAAATTAATTATCTAACTTCATCTATTCAACTCTATTCGGAACAATTTAAGTAAGCAAAAATAATTTAGTAAAATAATTGTGTCTTGCTGCTTATGAAATAACAGAGTCAGTGTACGCAATTCTTTTGCCATGACTCATTATGAATAACACTGTTTCTCCTTCTTTATTTACTTAAGAGTGAAAAATGTCTCTTTTGACTTTGTATCTTATGGAATTCAGCTTGACACTCGCGCCTTATACAAGCTAGCGAATACATTCCATTGTAATACACAGAGATGTGATAAATTAAAAGGCATTCACGAAATTCGATATAACTAAAATGATGACAACGGCAAAAGGTTGTGTCAGTGAGAAGAGATAAAGTAAATGTGAATGTGCGAAGGCTTGTTGTCTGATTGGTTTTATCTGTGCTTTTTTGAATTCTTGGGATTCTTCATAATGTTGAGGCTTGCAGGGGTTAGGTACTTGGATGAAGTTTCACAGCAATAACGAAATTTGAGATAAAATATTCAAGTCCTGTAAAAAAGGCATAAATTAATCCACATCTAGAGCACTCCATAATAAAACTCATTATCTCATATTTCATCCCATTAAATTATGAAACAAGCAAAATGCAGCTTCTTACCTTCTTAATTACATTTCATGGTCATTTCTCATTATTAACATTTTAATGAGTAAAGAATCTTTCATGATATAACTCTATCATTATCATGTATTTAACTCTATCTCTCTACAATGCATAAGCATGATAGAAGAGCATTTTCATTCATAGAATGCATTGTCTTGCATGTCTAGTCTATGCACACATTAATTACACAATTGCTCGTCATTATTTTTATACAAACAATTTTTTATTCATTCTCGCTTCTTTATTCATCGCAATTAATTTTTATGTGTATTGCATATGTGTGTGTGTGTGTGTATGCAATGGCACGTCATGACGCTTAATTCCAATTACTTATTCATAAACTTGAGTGACTAGACTCATGCGATAATACATACAAGCATATTTATGTGTACAAAAGGTACCTTTTTTATGAAGCATAACTCTGTGTATTTTTAATGATGTTGTCGATTCAGTTTATTTTTTGCTATAATGTTGCTTCTAGTGTTACTGAATGAAAAGACTATGCTGGAGGAAGTCGGAAATTTCTTTAATGAAGAGAGACTTTTTCGCGCGTTAAATTAGTGAAACTGAGGATGTAGTTTAAGGCGTTTTTAATGAATGAATGAATGTAATTGAAATATGGATTTTTAAGAGCCGGCCATGGAGTTTATTTTTGGATTGAAGACTTTTTTTAAGAGAAATTTTGTGATTGCGTTTGAGATTTTTTTAATGATTGTGTAAGATTAGCTGTAAGATCTCTAAGTTGAAGTTATTATAATAATTATAAAAACTATGCAAATGCTAGTCATGTCGACAACACTATTTGTAATGAATAAATGATCGGCTTTTAGGAATCGAACCCAAGTCTTAAAAGAACAGTTTAAGTTTACAGATTTTCGGTCTATTTTCCAAACACTCTGCCATAGATAGCTTACTCTCAAATTGACACATTCGCCTGCATATGACTCGGTACTTCAGATTCGACTCTGATTCGAAAGCACAAAGACATGACTAACAAATCTCAGTAGAAATGATTCAACCAAATGGAACCTAATGGAAGCAACTATAAAGACTAAGCTTCGCTGTTCATAACAGTCACCCAGTAAAGGACCAATCATCTTGACGGTTTAATAAAAATTAATCAAAAACAAATTCATTTAAAATTGACCCGTCATTTCCATAAGCCTCAACTGCATGACTTTAGATACCCAAATTATAATTAAAAGACCATTTTTTGCCGATAAATTTATTCATTTCATTAAAATTCTTCACTCAATCCCCGCCCAATCTAAAACAATAACCAACACTCAATATTTATGTAAATTTCAACTCAATCCCAGAATAATAATTTCTGCTCCAAATTTCTCTCGCTATTCCAATTTTCTATCCATTGCGGTCTTCTAAGAAGGAGGAAAAAAAATAATTTTGTCAATTTTAAAGCCATTTAAATTTAAATTCATTGAACTCAATTTACGTGGTTCATCGACCGTTTCACTTTTATCTCTGTTTAAAGTCAACTCTTTCCAATTCCCTTTCTGCCATTTCCGTTTACTTAATTTTTTTGCTGTTATCATATTAAACAGCACAACATAATG